GTGGATGATATACTTAGAGGGGATCTATACTACTGTGTATTAAGTAACTTGGACAAATTGTGGCCCAGCGAGGCTCTGCATGGAGATTTGACCATGCGTGCACTGCTGACAGGAGGATATGCGGATATGAATTGCCGCTTGTGCTACCCAATTATGGTTGATTCTTAAGGTGGTTGTACTGTAAGTACTGTACGGAGTACACATCTAAATATATCTACACAGTAAATATACTAGACATGTCGCCCCGTGTCAATGTGTCGGCGCGTGTGGCCTTATATCACTGGGTCACGTGACGCGGAAACATGAAAACACCACGTAGCCGTAGCTAGTTCCTTCCTCAGTCAATAATTCAACCAATTCAACGATTTTGTATTGCCTCAGTTCCTTGGCCCTTGACCTCGTATCCTCCACTACAATGTGCAAGTGTTTCTACACCGCCTGCGGGAGCTAAGTCTTCTGCCGCGGAAACAGTCGCCGTAAGACCCATGCCGCAGGCTGGGGCCGGCGACTTAGAACCTTAGAGACCCAGCACAAAAAGCCGCGTAGGGGAGGCCGAAGGTCTCCCCGCTCAAGATCTTGTATGTACTGTACAGTACTAGTGACCTTGGAGTGAAACAGAGTTCCCAAGAATGGAAAATGGATACATGAGCCCTGTTAGCAATGGGTAATTACCACCTTTTATCAACTTTACATACGTCACGTAGTTTTGAGGGTCAAGACTAATTACAAGTTACATTATGCAAATCACGTGGCTAGCCAGTCGCCCGGGCCAACTGGAAAAACTAGCTTCAATTTTCTCACCAATTCAATATTACAATCATCCACTGAATTTGCCTTAGAATTTCTACATTTCAGTGATGTTACACATCCCTAAGCCCTGTACACATGTGCGAGTAGTACCCGGAGAGGTAGGTTGAGGGGGCAAAGGGAAGGGAACCGCCGGCAAGCAATGGAGCAATGGGGTATGACCGTTTAACAGCAAAGACTGGGACACTAGCTAGTTATAGATGGACTCGTCAGTACGACTCCAAGTCTTCAGGTTTGTGTTGCGGCATCAGCCGACACGCATTTATCCAATGTGGCGAATTGAGTAAACAGTTCGATCGCCTACCATGTACAGTTCCTTGCAATAAATATACAATGTGATCATGGTCAGTTCAAGTCAGGACAGTATCCTTGGTTGCTTAGCGTAGATTCCTAACATTTGATGTCATTTCTTGCCACTGTTTGCCGCTGCGCTGATCTAGTGTGCGCAGTAAATGCCGCCTTGTCAACGTAACTGTATCAGCATAGACAGGCTAAGAATAGGGAGCTGTTCAGGGCTAGAGTATGTATATAGTACTCCGTATGCACTGTACTCGAGTAAGCACAGTAAGATCAATGGCTAGACCAAAAAGTTGCTAGCCCGAATTTCGATCCAAGCGGGGAGGCCCCGAAAACCAGGCTGAAATGAAGATCAATCACTGATCAGAGCCCTGGAAAAGTGGGCCAGTACGGACTAGGTTACTCATCAAACACTATACGAGAAAAGCATTGAACCGTAAACCATATATTATATCAGTTAGCTGTTCGGGGAAATACACCCTTCAACATAAAATTGGCATGAAATCTTGATATCATTGGGACCTAAGGTGGCTTGGTTCATGGCCCAGCGGAAACCTTGGATCGTAGGATGTATTGGTCTCTTCCTGACCACTTTGAATTCATGTCATATATACATTTGCAGACGAATAGAGACTATCAATCGTACGTCTATCTACATCTCACTTCTACGCACATTTCACGTTCGATTGCCTTGCAGAAAGGTCCGCTCGGACATGGAAAGCCACACTTCTTAGGAAACCTCTTCAACTTCCAACCCCATCCCCTTCCCGATCTTGCGAATCAATGCCCTTTTCAAGAAGGCTTCGCGCGCAAGTCCACGCGTGTGCCGCGACCAGGTCTCCACCCCGATAACTCCCTTGACCAAGGCCGCTTGAAGAGCATAGATAGCTTGCTGAATGCCGCGTTCTTCTGCCACGAGATCGTAGAGCTGTTTCCCGACAACGGTTGGGGCCACGAGAACCTCATCAATAGGAGGCAGACCAGACGCCGCTGTGGTAGCATCGCTGGTGCTGGACGAGGGCGCCCCCGATAGTGAGGAGATGCGAGTCTGCGCGTCGCCAATGACTCCATCGGCGCGGTGGAGAGTATGCTGAAGGATGGAAGTATTCGACTGTAGAGTCGCATTGAGGGTATTCAAAGAAGAGATTTCCCCTTGAAGCGTTGCAATGGCAGCGTGAAGTGAGTGGGACTGAGAGAGAAGAGAGTGCGCTGCCGTTTCAGATTGTGCAATGTTGGTCTGCAGGGTTTCAGAGAGGGTCTTAGAGACAGCCTGGAGGAGAGCGTCCTTTTCTGGATTGGGAGGAATGGGTGGTGCGGGGCCGGTAGGTGTGAAAGAGGGGAGCTCGAGCTCGAAGGGTGAGGTAAGAAGGTCGGGCGTTTCAGATTTGGGACGCTGCTGCTGCTGTGCCGGTAGAGGTTGTTGATGCTGATATCGGGGTAATGGCTGAGTGGGCCCCGGATGGGGCAGCCTCTGAGAGTGTGCAGAATGTGGCAGAGGTGTCTGTCGTGGGGGCATTTGAGCTGGGACGGGCTGATGAGGCATGCGCCCAAAGTCCTGTAGTGATACGATGGGTGCATTGCTCAAAGACTGAGCGTATGCTTGTCCCTGGAGATATTCGCTTGCTGGCGGAGGGGCATGCTGCGGGTGCTGGTACTGACTTGTAGTCGGCTGCAGAGGGATGCTGCTCTGCTCCGGAGGGTACTGCGACGGCCGAGCTCCAGGGATGTTGATGCTTGATTGCTGCTGGAAAGACAACCTTCGAAGGTCTTGTTCTTTGGGTGGTAGCGGGGGAAGCGGAGGGGGAGAATTGTATCGTCCTGCGGTTGAGGACCGCTGTGACTGGCATTCTGGATCAGGAGTCTGGCCAGGCTTCGGAGGAGGCGGAGGAGGCACTTGAGCAGGGCGCTGCGTAGGCGCGACGGATGTGCCTTGAGTCACTACGGAGCGCCTAGGAGATGATTCGAGCTCGGGGGGTAGCGGTGGCAAAGGAGGAGGTGCCTGCACTTGCGGTGACAGTGGTGGTCGCTGCTGCACCAGTGGCTGCTGCTTGTATCTCACTGGCGGCTCCTTTGCGAAAACCTCTCGCAAGATCAACAAGAAGTCGACAAGAGACGATCTCTGTGATAAAATGTCAGATTCGTGCGCGCGTCGCAGGTTCCCTGAACTACTGACCTCCCATGCCTCTGCCCAATGTGCCAGGTAGTGATGGTAAACCATCCCCTCCAGCGTTACGTGCTGACCTACACGCACTGCCATATCTTGGGTTGGTGTAACGTAGACGATTGGAGGTTCTCGAGGATAAGTGTTTGGTATCCACAATGTCACAGGAAATCTATAAACGGTGCCGCGAAATGATACGGGGAGCGTGCCTGACAGTTGGAGAAGCAGGGCCGAGAAGCCAGTTTCGTAGGCTAGATATACAAACAAGCGGTCAGTTCCTGGGCAGAACGAGAAGCAGCCATATTAGTCTGGGAGGATCCCACGTACTATAGACTTCTGTTCGTGGAGCGATGGATGGATACTGGGCGAGCGCGTTCGCGACATCGTGGTAGGTCCGGTTGGGGTCTTGGTAGGTTAGTCTGGGATCGTGATGGTCCTAAAGGTAGGTTGGCAGTCAGTGACGGATAATTAAATTGGCCTAAAAGAAGTTGCAAGCTTTCTCACCCGCGTCAAGACGCCGTAGAGCCAGTTGAGTGTCCTCTGCGGCACTGCAGCCATGGCGAGGGAGCTGGGATGGGAAATAGTGGGAGTCGCATGGCGGGGGGGGGAATGAGTTGGAGTTGGAGGCGGGCGGAGGAGTTGAGGTCAGCGGTGGCCGGTCATCGCGCCGCGGTTTCTTCGGAGCTTCCATTCAGCACCTCCCAACCTTGAAGGTCTCTGATCACCCAGAACTACCAACACACATGATATTTGGCAAAGGAGACTAGCTTCGTCTGCGCTATGACAAGCTTACATGGCCTAATCTCTTCTTTCTCGACCAGGAAAAGCTGCAATATCAGTTATGTCCACCTCCTAAAACAAGTGGGGGCTTAGATGTCAATTAGCACTTACATACCATACTGTCTGTTATCTTTTCGTCGAGATCCCATCACCAACATGCTCAGAGCATATTCTCCAAGTTCGATAACCTTTGACTCAAGGGTCACTCAAGGTTACTGTGCAATTGCTCCCATGAGTTGGCATTCTGGATCTCAGGAACAGTGACCGCGCCTCAAATATCGCACCACTAGGGAACTGTCGGCCTCAACTGTGGTCCTATCACAGCCACACATCGATGTCGATGTACAACCACAGGCGTCTCCAGATCTCTCCCAGTGTATCATCAAGAATGTACCGAAAATTGAGGTCATGGGGCCGTGGTACTCCCAGTCGCCAGAGTGAGTAGCATGTGTCAAAACACCGTGCGCGGATCATGGCCCACCTGTTTAGGCTTGCTATTGTTCTTGACATTGGCCATGACATTGTTTGTCTCAGCTGTCAAGACTGTCAAGACCTCCTTGTCTAGCATTTTGTGCTGGGACAAACTGATGATTGGCATTGTACAAGATTGAGGCCTACAGTGTTCTACTTTTTATATTGTTATACCTCATCCCTGATCCAGTAGACATATTGTCTGTCTCGGGGTTGCACTGCATGGACAATATTACCGGCAATGAACCATTGGCTTGTCTATTTTATCGGGCTTGACCTGGTTGCCATATCCAGCAACACGGGGCTCATGGACTGGATCATGTACAAATCGCCGTTTAGAAGACCTCTTCATCTTCCTTTCCAAAAGGAACAACCACGTCTAATCCGAATTACGCTCGCTACTTCGTCTTTTCACTCTTTACATTGAACAGCAACAGCATACTAAAGGCCTAGATACAAGCAATTTATTGACCGAATCGCCATCATGAGTCCAGAATTCGACCCGTTCACTCAAAACATCACCTTCCACGCTGCGGACGGCGCTCCCTTCAATGTCCCCGTGGAAGCTGTGGACCAGTTCATCCAGTATTGCATCCGCATCTGCATCAATTATGGTGCCCAGCTTGGAGCCAGTATTGTCCTACTGGTGATACTCCTGCTCCTCACGCGGCCCGAGAAGCGTCGCTCCAGTGTCTACCTCCTCAACTGCTCAGCCCTGCTTCTCAACATCGGGTTGCTTCTCTGCCAGGCCCTGTACTTCAGCTCCCCGTTTGTGCACGTCTACGCCTACTTTGGCAGCGATTATTCTCGCGTGCCTCAATCCACATACGCCAATTCGGTTCTCGGAGTCGTGCTGGCCACCCTCCTTCTCATCAGCATCGAAATATCGCTCGTCCTGCAGGTCCAAGTCGTCTGCGCCAACCTCCGCCGCCGCTACCGGCGCCTCCTGCTCGGTGTGTCCATAGTCGTGGCTCTGGTCCCCACTGGATTTCGCCTCGGCTTGATGGTCGAGAACTGCAAAACCATTATCCAGGCCGTGACTAGCGCGCCCCTGATCTGGATTCAAAGCGCCGCCAACATCACTCTGACCATCAGCATCTGCTTCTTCTGTACCGTCTTCGTTGCCAAACTCGGCTATGCCATCCGCCAGCGCAGACGCTTGGGGGTCGCCGACTTTGGCCCAATGAAAGTGATCTTCGTGATGGGCTGCCAAACGCTCGTTGTTCCCGGTACGTACACATCTCTCTTCCCTTTCAGAGAGCTTGAGCCCAGCTCAATCTGCCGTAAGCAATTTCCTAATTAACCATCCGAACATATAGCCCTCTTCTCCATTCTCCACTACGCAGTCAACGTCCCCGAACTCTCCTCCAACGTCCTCACTCTGGTAACCATCTCCCTGCCCCTCTCCTCCATCTGGGCCGGCGTCGCCCTCGACCACCGCCCCGGCAACAGCAACACCAATAGCAACAACCTGGCCAGCTCGACCTCCTCTCGCCGCAATCTGTGGCAGGTCCTCTCGTTCTCCTACTTTGGCGACGAGAAACACCCCTCCCATTCGGCCTGCACCACCTCAACTTCCACGTCCACCTCCCTCCCAAGAGGCAACAAACCCAGCACCGGCACCGGGACCACCTGCTACGCCGATCCAAACCAAAACCGTCAGCAACAGCACCAGCAGGATCTAGAAATGGGATATGGAATTGCGGTGGAGCACGATATCTCCGTGCGGAGCGTCAAGCGGGAGAAGGACGTGCTGTAAATCCTGCTCGGGTATCCTGCTTCTGGGCCCGGGGCAATTGGGGGTGGATTGATCATAATCATGAAGCAGGGCTCAGGAAGGCGGGGAATATGGAGAGGTTGTTGTTAGTAGTAGTTGGAGATAAGAAGGGGCGACGAATGACGCGGTGTAGCCCTTATTATTCGCCTTCTCACTTTTTCGCATTTGAATTTCGTTTCTGAAATTTGACAAGCGTTGTTGTGGATGCAACTAGAGCAGGAGGGAGGGGGGTCGCGGTGCCTTCTAACCTCATTTGTGGATAACTAGAATGTGCTAATTTACCGCATCGGGATGTTCACTACTTCGAGGGGGGGGTTTTCATTTTTCGATTCCTGAACTGCTTTCTGTACCCACGCAGACTAACTCGTTGCTAATATTCATTTTATTCTACTCCAAAGCAGAGAGCACTCGAAACAGTGCCCATTCGCATGATTTAAGCATAAAACCTAGGAGTAAAGGTATAGGCCTACATACTGAATAGCAGCTCACGCGCTGAATTCTTTTGACTCTTTGTCACATCAGAGCGTGTCGAATTACTACCAATACTACATGCGTCGAAAAGGTAAAAGACAGAAGCGTTGATCAACTCCGCCCCTGTCACCGCTCAACCTTCCCGCCCCAGCTTCGCTAGAGACTCCGTCAGGAACTCATTGGCATTCATCAAATCCGTACTACCATAGACCACCCTCCGGCGGGGCCCAGTGAGCGCACCCGACCCAGCGCCCCGGGCACCACCGGCACCACCGGCACCACCACCACCATCCTGCTGACCATTCGCCCGACGGACCCAGTCCTGCAGGTTCCCGTACTCGTCCATGCTACCGCCGCCGACGGTGAAGACGATGGCCTCGTTGAAGCCCTGGCGCCGCTGCCCAAAGGTCGCTGTGGTGCCGGGTCCAGCACCACCGCCGAAAGCACCCTGGCCCTGCGCATTCCGGGATGCGGAGGCCGGGGGCATGGCGCCGCGAGCGTTGGCGCTGCGCGGGTCAAAATACAGGTAGTTCTCCGTCTTGGCGATGGCGGAGCTGGACGCGGAGGCCGGGTCCATGATCGACTCGGTGATTTTGGTCAGGGTGAGGTCCTTGTTGGCCGGGAGAAAGTTCTTGACCCCAGAGATGAGGGAATCGAAGTTGGCGCCGAGGGCGCCGGAGGTGATGCGGTCGGTCAGCTGGTTGGAGAGCGAAGAGAAGCCGCGGAAGAGATTCGACGATTGTTGCTGTTGCGGCGCCGTGCCCGCCGTCGCCGTCGTCATCATCGTCATCCGCGTGATCTCGCGAACTTGGCGGACGTATGACAACGGGCTGACGTCCTGCACACCCATGCGTGTCAGGGCTTCTTCGAATTGGCCCATCTCGGCCCGGGAGACTTCGGTCTCCGTGCTCAGGAACCAGATGATGAATAATCGGATTTTATCCGTCGGGTTGTTGCCCTTTGTGGAATCGTTGATGAGGTCCATGATCTGCGTCTTGGACTGTTTAGTGATGTTCTCCTCGAGCTCAAAGAAGTTATCCAGCTGACGATCTTTGATCCCCTTGAGGAGGGCGGTGGCGATGTTCATGTGCATGTCGAGAATGGCTTTCCGTTCCCGCAGTTCAGGTAGTAGCGTTATGGCTGCCTTGAGGTGCTGCGCTGAGGCGCTGGTATCGTTCTGCAGATCTTCAATAGAAGAGGCTCCGGTCTTTTTGGTTATGTCATTGGCATCCTCTTTGTATCGCGTCAATTCGGCATCGATATCCTCGGCAACCTGGGGGAAGGGTGCACCGGCATTGCGCTTCCAGAAGAAGTCATTGCTATTCAAGTCGTACGCTCGCTTCTTTACACCTTTTGCTGGATTCATATCGTCCGCTGTTTCTACTGTGATCCGGTTGAGATGCATCTGCAAAACATCTTGCACAAGGGACTGGTAGGTCCAAGAGTGGGACAGCATGGGGACTAAATCCACGTTGCGATCGACAATGACTAGGACCGGTCGCGATGAAGGCACGCCGGGAGTAGCCTTTTTGCTGGAGAAAAGATTGTCTTTCGAGTTGAGGATATGATCGCGGAGCTTGCGATCGAGTTTAGTAGCTATCAGCTCCGCCGCCCCGCCCTTGGGACACCTAATGATGGGAATAGACCCTATTTGCACGTTAACCAATAGACGATTACGGACGGAACTTCAAGGCCTACCCATCGTAACGCTAACGCTGAACAGCCCGCTGACAATTCGATCAACGATAGCATCCAAGTCATCGTCGCTTGTTTGGGCGCTGTTAATCTTCCAGTAGGCATCGTTGCCTAATCCCAGGCTAAAGAGGTCTGGCTCCGCAACGATGAAGTTCAGGTACTGGTCGAAGACCTGTGCGACATGTTCTGCGGTGCCTGTAGTTGCGATCTGAGAGGCAAAGTCTTCCAGCAGGGGTCGAGGTACGGAGGAGAGGAAGTTTATGTAGGCGGGGGAGTAGAGACCGCGGGAGAGGTCATTGGTGATCGCCTGAATGTTGGCAGCGGTAGGCTCGACGAGATAGATGACCGGTACATCGGGTATCGGATAGCGATTGGCGTTGATGTTGCTTGTGGTCTATGTCAGTTGATTGTCTGGCCAAGTATGAAGTCCTCCACGCGCAGGGGACCCCGTACAGATGGATTGTGACCCCCCATGTCCTAAGATCATTGACACGCAGGACGCTGCTGATCACATCTCTTCCCAGATTATCGAATACCAAGACTTTCCAAATCGGATCCCCGTCCTCGTTCAACACGGGGGTTGAGAACAAGCCCTGGGTAGAGCCATCGGGGTGAGTTTCGTCGGTGGGATGTGTATCGTGATTCAAGTTTAGTAATTTTTGGATGGAAGCTGAGGGAGATTAGACATGTGCGATCGCAGTGGTGATCGAGAAGGGAGGCTGAAACCTACCGACCTGACGGTCACGGAGAGAGGTGGAATGCGATGCCATTATGCGACTTGACTTGCTGCAACACCCCGGACGGTTTCACAATCACCTGAATTGGCTCAATATCATGACAAGTTGGAGTAGGCGATGAGAATAGCGGCTGTGAAGATCGAAGACAAGAGTAAAAGTAGGTAGTGGGTATAAGAAGATAATATTTGCAAGACGAAAAGGACAGCGTTAGGTGTTGCGCAGTGTAGAACCAGATCGGGGGAAGCAGTCGGTGGTTCGAACTAGAGTACAGTACACAGTTCACGATTCGCAGTACGTAGACGCTCCACCTGGCAGCCTGTCCGCTCGGAAGGACAAACCAGACAAACCAGACAAACCAGACAAACCAGACAACGGCTTGGGTTAAATCACGTGATCGGTGCTATCGCCGAACGGGGCGTAGGTACAGTAGAAGACCACCTACCTATTATGAGCCCGCCCGCCCAACAACGCAACAACCGAATTGCCGCCCGCCGGCTTTTTCAGTCTTACCACCGCAGCTCAACTCACTCACCAACTTTACCTACCAATCCTCCTTCCTCCCTCTCCTCTCTCCTCCTTCCCTTCCTTCTCCCTCCCCAAGCATCCCCTCCACCTCCCCCCAACCTCATCGTAAAGCAAATGACTATGCTGCTCAACAAACTGTCGTTCTGAGTGGCTCTTTGTATACCGCCTTTTCTGATCATTTTCTAAAGTCAAGAGTTAAGGAAGCTGAAGAAAAGAGGAACAAGAAAAGGCAAGGCAGTACGAGCAGGACGGAGTTTTCGCCCCCCTCCAGCTGAATTGTTTCTGCAGACAAGGTCCGGGAAGAGGTTTGAAGACTAGGAAGAGTGACAAGGTTACCTACAAACAAGCATAAGCGTTTGCTTTGAAAAAGACAAGACAGACGCCAGGCAAAGAAAAGCAAAGAAGAGAAGTTATTCGGAGAGTACAAAAGTACAGTACGTACTTGGGCTGGTGTATTCGAAACCAGAATTGGGTCCAGCCTCTTCCTGTTCTAAAAAAACATAACTGCTGCTCTGCTGTGGTGTCGTTTGACAGCGCGCGCCCGCGAGAGAGAGACGTGGACGTGACATAAGGAGGAAGAAAAAGGCCAAAGGCCTATTCAGGCACAGGGCGGCAGCACAGCACATCTACCTCATCACATTCTATTTTCACTTGCTCGCTCACTTACTCTCTCTCTCTCTCTCTCTCTTTCGAATCAAACAACCTAGAGATCAGTGAGTTACGGTTTCAGGTGTGGTTTCCCCCTTTCATTCGTTCTGCTTTCACCCCATTCATTTGCAAGATTCCACCTAAAGTGAGGAAGACAAGTTGCCACCCATCTTGCCTGACTACAGTACCCTTATCCTTGAGCCTCGCTCTGACCGGGTGTTACCGCTTTCCCTGTTATTCCTCTGAATTCCGACGTATCAGCAAACGCAATGGCTGACAAACTCGGCCAGCTTCCTTGATTCGTTACAGCGGGCTCCTGGACCAGATTTGCTGCGCCGCCGTTGCTCAAGGAGCTTGGACCAATAGACTGATCGTGACTGCGTCCTCCTCCCCCCCCCCCCACTCCAGTCTTTAAGAGCGGCATTCGATCTTGTCCCAACTTGGCAACCTCTCGGCACGTGGATGCATGTGACCCTTAACCACTTTCGGGCAAATCCATTCTGCACTGCACTGTGACTGCAACAAACAGTCCATACAATTAGTACCCTATCATATCCACCCCTCCCCCTACCCCTCACTGTCCTTACCTTATTCCACTGGCGGCCATTGCTGTTGTTTCTGTGGCTGCCACTGCTATAGAGCAGGAAGTAAAGCGTGGGGATAAACCGGAAGAATGGAGCAGTCGCCGCCGCAAAACATCATGCCCGGTCTGCACCGCGCGCCAGTAGATCCCGGCTCGTTACCGCCACCTGAGTACTGGAACAACTTCGAACCGCTGTATACAAACTCCGATCCTTCGCATCAACATGCACATCCTTCACAACAGCAATTACATCAACAGCCTCCTCCCCAGCCTCAATCGCAGTCGCAGTCACAATCCCAATCGCGATCGCAATCGCAACCACA